TGTCTAATCTCTTTTCTGGATGTCATATTCAGGCCTGCCTCAGTCTCTGGCTGCTTGCTTTGATGGTCCTGTGACACACAGAAACCCAGTCTCAATTCCATCTTCGAGTCACCTCTGAACTCATCCTCTGGGGAGGAAGAAATTCCTGTCAGGCTAAGGGGCATTTTGCAGCAAAGAAGAGATTAGCTGTCTCCCATCTACCAGAACTCCCCATCGTGTGAGCATTTAAGATGGTAGTCTTCTGTCTCTGTAAGAGGAATTCCAAAGTCTTTTGTGTTGGGCCTCTCTGTTGAGGAAACCCAGGGGACAAAAAGGGCTCAGAGATTTCAAGGTATAAAGGTATATGCTGCCTCTCCGGTATTATCAAATTTTAGACTGGTCCCAAGAAAGATGGGAGCTAGAAGGATCCTCAGAGTCACCTTGTCCATTGGTTTCCAAACCCAGCTGTTCATCAGGATCACCAGAGAATCAGACCATATCCCTTAAGGTTCTTATTTAGGAGGAGCCTGGCAATCCATGTTTTAAAATACTGATGTACAGCCAGTGCCCTCACATTATAAATGGGAGAAACTAAGGCGCAGCGAGGCATGTTTTCAAGGTCATATGGAAACTACCTAACCTGACATGTTCTGGTTCTAGTCTACCTTTTCTCATTCTAGCATCTCATTTATGCACCCTTAGGATTCTTGTATAAGATACAGCATGCCAGCTAAATTTGAATTTCAGATGTAATTATACTAAAAAAGTATTGTCTATCTGGATTTCAAATTTAACTGAGCACCCTGTACTTATATTTGCTCAGTCTGGAAACTCTATACACCTTACACCACAGACCATCTGAATGAACTTTGTCACATGTAATTTCTGAATTCCTACTTTTAGGCCTTTGTTTTGTTCCCTCTGTGTGAAATAATCATACCGTTATTTTCCCCAAATCCTGCCCATTCTTCAACCTGAACGCCTCCTCTCAAGCTTTCTTATCCTTTGAGCTGACCTTATTCTAGCCTATGATAACAGTTTATTTGTCTCTCTACTTCCACTTCCTCATGTACTATCTAGGACCATAGTGTTTTATTTACTTGGCTTAAAGGTTCCTGTGGAGCATGAGCCAGCCCTCTGCCAAGACAGGGACTATATCTGAGCAGAGAATAATGTGTAAAAGCATGGACTCTGGAGTCAGATGAGTTTTGTTTGATTTCAACTCTTCCATTTTACAGTTGTGTGACTTTGGGAAAGATTTTCTACTTCTTTGGGACTCAGTTTTCTCATCTGTAAAATGGGAATTATAAGAGTAATTTCTGCATAGGATTGTGGTGAAAGCTAAATGAGATAAAGCTTTGAGAGTGTTTAGAACAGAGAAAGTAGAAGTGCTCAGTAAATGTTAGCTATTGTAAATCATTATATCTGTATCTTCAGGGCCAAGCACAATGTAGTGATCAGTAAAGTCTACTCAGTGAATGAAGGAATGGATGAATGAAGAAATGAATACATGAGTACAAGTAAAAGGCCTGGATATAAGATCCTGTGCCATACTGACAGAAAGTGCAGATGTTTGTGTGAGTGGCTTCGTATAGAAAATACACGTGCACTGGAAAAACATGTTTCCTTGGAGAAAGTTTCTGCTCTCAAGGAGCTGTATATAATACATTATTCCTCTCTAGGGGAGTAAATTTCTGTTAGGAGATTGTTATACTATAAGTTTTCTCTCTTTACCATGACCAGCACAGCTAGAGAGCAAACAAGTCCTATGTAGGGGCGGCTGGAGATTGAGAAAGGGATAAAAAGGAGACAGACACAGAGACAGTAGGAAAAGCTGGGACCAGGTGGGACGCTGCCCTCTGATGGAAAGACAGTGACTCAGAGCTGGTGCAGCGTGTTTATTATATACAGCATGATTCCAGGAAATTTTACTAGAGCTTAAGACAAAGAAAATTATGTGAAATCATGGTTAAAGATCAAGCTGTAATTCTTCATTCTTGTGGCTTCTTTGTAATTGTCACTCTTGGCTGAGGCTGGATAATTGCATCTGTTCCTTGCACCTGGCTGAACTTAATGAAACCCAACCCCTGGCACCTGAGCTAAGGGTCAGGCTGACAACATACCTGCCTCTGGCATGGTATGTTTCCAGGATGTGGCTCTGCCGATGCCACTGGACTTAGCCGACAATCAGCTCATGTGCCTTCCCAGGCGCTCTCTACATTACACAAATGTTTGTCTCATTAGAGAACTTCTATATTTCTATTCTCTGCAGGAATTATTGGAAATGGAAATCTAGACTTGTGCCTTTCACTCTGTCTCTGTCTTCCTGTGGACTGCTAAGAAACTTTCTCCTTCTGTTATAGTAGAATTAATTGGTTGAAAGATTGGTAAATACTTGGAGACCAAGAAAAATATAAAAAAGATGACAGACAAAAGATTAGTGGTTACGAATGGGGGGGAGAACCAAGATGGCGGCATAGGTTAACGCCAGAGATTGCTGCCTCGAACAACCAATTCAAATTACACCTAAAAGACGGAACGGACATCATCCAGAACCACAGGAGGGCTGGCTGAGTGGAAATTCTACAACTAGGAGGAAAGAGAATATCATACCCAGACTCAGAGGAGGCGC